GTCAATGTGGACATTACCAGTTTCAAAATATCCCCATCCCTGGCCTCATCTCATGACCAACCCTCCCTCTCATCCCCGCCTCCTTGATCTGACACAACCTGTCTATCATCTCTCCCAGCTATCCATTCCTCCCACCTCACTGACCAATCCCCACCACTGCCTACCTGCACTGACCTATCACCATCCCATCTACCTTCCCCAGCCCCAGCCCTCCTCTCTCTATTTATTTCAGAGCTCCCTTCCCCTCCCCATTTCTGAAGAAGGGTCCCGACCCGAAACGTCAACTTTCCTGCTCCTCTGATGCTGCCTGGCCTGCTGTGCTCCTTCAGCTCCACACTGTTATCTCTGACTCCAGCATCCAAAGTAGATAAATCCCCAGGACTGGATCAGGTGTTTCCCAGAACTTTTTGGGAAGCTAGACAAAAAATTGCTGGGCCCCTTGTTGAGATATTTGTATCATTAGCAGCCACAGATGAGGTGCCTGAAAACTGGAGCCTGGCTAATGTGCCATTATTTAAGAAAGGCTGCAGGGAAAAGCCAGGGGAGTATAGACCGTTGAGCCTTATATCAGTGGTGGGCAAGTGATTGGAGGAATTTTTGAAGGACAGGAATTACATGCATTTGAAAAGACAAGGATGACTACGGATAGTCAACATTGCTTTGTGCGTGGGGAATCGTGCCTCACTAACTTGATTGAGATTTTTGAAGAGGTGACAAAGAGCCAAGATGAAGGCAGAGCAGTAGACTTTGTCGACATGGACTTCAGCAAAGCATTCAACGAGGATCCGCATGGTAGAGCTAGGGGGAGCTAGTCAGTTGGATACAAAATTGGCTTGAAAGTAGGAGACAGAGGGTATTTAGGGAGCAGTTGCTACAAGTACTGGACAGGTATGTCCCACTGAGGCAAGGAAAGGATGGTAAGGTGAAGGAACCTTGGATGACAAGACATGTGGAACACCTAGTCAAGAGGAAGAAGGAAGCTTACTTAAGGTTGAGGAAGCAAGGATTGGACAGGGCTGTAGAGGTCTACAAGTTAGCCAGGAAGGAACTGAAGAATGGACTTAGGAGATATGAGAAAACCTTGGCGGGTAGGATCAAGGAAAACCCCAAGGCGTTCTATGCTTATGTGAGGAACAAGAGGATGGCCAGAGTGAGGGTAGGGCCAATCAGGGATAGTGGAGGGAACTTGTGCGCGGAGTCAGAGGAGGTAGGGGAGGTCCTTAATGAATACTTTGCTTCAGTATTCACCAGTGAGAGGGACCTTGACGTTTGTGATTACAGCATGAAACAGGCAGATATACTTCAGCATGTTTGATGTTAGGAAGAAGGATGTGCTAGAAATTTTGAAGAACGTGAGGATAGATAAGTCCCCTGGGCCTGACGGGATATACCCAAGGTTACTACAGGAAGGAAGGGAAGAGATTGCTGCCCCTTTGGCAATGATCTTTGCGTCCTCACTGTCCATTGGAGTAGTACCAGAGATTGGAGAGTGGCAAATGTCATTCCCTTGTTCAAGAAAGGGAATAGGGATAATCCTGGAAATTACAGACCAGTCAGTCTTACTTCTGTGGTGGGCAAATTATTGGAGAGGATTCTAAGAGATAGTATTTACGATTATTTTGAAAAGCACAGTTTGATCAGAAATAGTCAGCATGGCTTTGTGAGGGCAGGTCATGCCTCACGAGCCTTTTTGAATTCTTTGAGGATGTGACAAAACACATCGATGAAGGTAGAGCAGTGGATGTAGTGTATATGGATTTTAGCAAGGCACTTGATAAGGTTCCACATGGTAGGCTCATTCAGAAAGTAAGGAGGCATGGGATTCAGGGAAATTTGGCTGTCTGGATACAAAACTGGCTGTCCAATAGAAGACAGAGGGGTGGTATTAGATGGAAAGTATTCAAGTTGGAGCTCGGTGACCAGTGGTGTTCTGCAGGGATCTGTTCTGAGACCTCTGCTGTTTGTGATCTTTATAAATGACTTGGATGAGGAAGTGGAAGGGTGGGTTAGTAAGTTTGCCGATGACACGAAGGTTGGTGGAGTTGTGGACAGCGTGGAGGGCTGTTGTAGGTTGCAAGGGGACATTGACAGGATGCAGAGCTGGGCAAAGAAGTGGCAGTTGGAATTCAACCCAGAAAAGTGTGAAGTGATTCATTTTGGAAGGTCGAATTTGAATGCAGAATACAGGGTTAATGGCAGGATTCTTGGCAGTGTGGAGGAACAGAAGGATCTTGGGTCCATGTCCATAGATCCCTCAAAGTTGCTACCCAAGTTGATAGGGTTGTAAAGAAGGCGTATGATGTGTTGGCTTTCATTGTCAGGGGAATTGAGTTTAAGAGCCTTGAGGTTATGCTGCAGCTCTATAAAACCCTGGTTAGACCACACTTGGAATATTGTGTTCAGTTCTGGTCACCTCATTATAGGAAAGATGTGGACGCTTTAGAGAGGGTGCAAAGGAGATTCATCAGGATGCTGCCTGGACTGGAGGGCAGGTCTTATGAGGAAAGGTTGAGGGAGCTGGGGCTTTTTTCATTGGAGCGAAGAAGGATGAGAGGTGACTTGATAGAGGTGTACAAAATGATGAGAGGCATAGATAGAATGGATAGCCAGAGACTTTTTCCCAGGGCGGAAATGACTATTATGAGGTGATTGGAGGAAGGTATGGGGGAGATGTCAGAGGTAGGTTCTTCACACACAATGGTGGGCATGTGGAATGCGCTGCCGGTAGTGGTAGAGGAGTCAGATACTTTAGAGACTTCTAAGCGACTGTTGAATAGGCACATGGAGGATAGTAAAATGTAGGGTATGCAGGGTAGATTGATCTTAGTCGGATAATAGGTCGGCACAACATCGTGAGCCGAAGGGCCTGTACTGTGCTCAACTGCTCTATGTTCTATGTTCTAGAGGGTTGCTTGTTGGACTGCAAGCCTGTGACCAGCGGTGTGCCACTAGGATCGGTGCTGGATCCACTGCTTTTCCTCATTTATATAAATAGTTTGGATGTGAATAAAGGAGGTAGCATGGTAAGTTTGCAGATGGGCCCAAAATAGGTGGTGTAGTGGACAGTGAAGAAGATTATCTCAGAGTACAATCGGACCTTGATCAGATGGGCCATTGGGCTGAAGAGTGGCAGATGGTGTTTAATTTAGATAAATATGAGGTGTTGGATTTCAGTAAGGCAAATCAGGGCAGCACTTATACAGTTAATGGTAGGGCCCTGGGGAATGTTGCTGAACAAAGAGACCTAAGAGTGTAGGTGCATAGTTCCATGAAAATGGAGTTGCAGGTAGACAGGGTAGTGCAGAAGGAGCCTTCATTGTTCAGTGCATTGAGTATAGGAGTTGTGACATCATATTGCAGCTGTAAATGACATTGTTGAGGCCACTTTTAGGAAAATGCATACAATTCTGGTCGCCCTTCTATAGGAAGGATGTTGTTAAACTCGAGAAGGGACAGAGAATATTTATGAGCATGTTGCTGGGACTGGACTGTTTGAGCTGTAGGGAGAGGCTGAATAGGCTGGGGCTTTCTTGCCTGAAGCAACGGAGGCTGAGGGGTGACCTTATAGAAGTTTATAAAATCATGAAGGGTATGGACATGGTTGAATAGCCAAGGTCTTTTTCCTGGATGGGGAGTTGAAAACTAGAGGACATAGGCTTAAGGTGAGAGGGTAACGAATTAAAAAGGACCTGAGGGACAACATTTTCACGCAGATGAAGTGGTGGCAGCTGGTTTAATTACAACATTTAAAAGGCATTTGGATGGGTGTATAAGTAGGAATGGTTTAAGAGGGATATGGTCCAAATGCTGGCAAATGGAACTAGGTCAGTTTGAGATGCCCGGTCAGCGCTGATCGGTTGGTCCAAAGGGTCTGTTTCCCTGGTGTATGACTGTGAGAGTCACGACAGTCTTAGAGAATAATAACCTCATTTCTGTTTTGAACGGACAATCCCTGAATTTTAAACAGTGACCCCTACTTCTAGATTTTCCCACAAGAGGAAACATCCTCTCCATATTTAGTCTATTGAGACCTGTCAGGGATCTTATACGTTTCGATAATATGATTACTCTTCTAACCCCCACTGGTTATCGGCCTAGTCTGTTCAATCCTTCTTCAAAAAACAACCTGACCGTTCCAGGTATTAGTTTAGTAAACCTTACCTGAACTATCTCCAACACATTTATATCCTTCCTGAGATAAACAATACAGTGCACAGTACTCCAGATGTAGCCTCAGCATGCCCTGAGACATAACTGAAGCAGAACAATCCTACTTTTGTATTCACTTGCCCTTGTGATGAATGAAAACATTCTATTAGCCTCCTAATTACTTGCTGCCATTGCTAACCAACCTTCAGCAATTCATGCACCAGGATGCCCAGATCCAGAGATAAACCAAGGCCTTAGATGGGTGTCATACCACCAGCAGTGACAACCTCCCGATAGCGCAGTTGTTCAGCAGCATCTGGGAGATGGCACTTTTGCCCTTAGGATCCTTGATCGTGGGTTAGGTCCTGCCATCGCTGGCCTATTAAGTATCTGTGTGGAGCGAGATACAGGGGGACCTCTGGGAAAGAACTGATGCAAAGGGTTAACCAGCTCTCAAGCTGGAAGCTGAGACCCTCTATGCCATCCCAGAGGGCATCTGAGAGTCAGCCACCAGGCAAGGATGGCAGATTTCCTTCATTAGAGAACCATATGGATTTTTTTCCCAACAATTGGCAACGGATTCACCATTAGACTCTTATTTTCGGATTAGTATTGAGTTCAAATTCCATCATCTGCTGTGGCGGGTTTCAAACCCAGGTCCCAAATGTTACCTAGGTTTCTGAATTAATAGTCCAGCAATAATACCACTAGGCCATCTCCTCCCCCTAAATGGTGATATGAACAGTCCGAAAAAATACAGGAGTGTTGGTGAAGACAAGGATCCATTTATTACTTAATGCACAAATGGTTGATTAGCATGAATTCACAAAGCGGGCGGTATGAGTTCAATGTGACAATTTATTGAAGAACAGATGTCTACAACTAGCAATTATCAAACAACCATGTTCATTATTGACATCAGACTAAATGTACCTACTGAAGAAAAAAAGCAAGCAATTTGTAGTAATGCCAGGCAACAACCTTGTGGGTTTGAGTTCATGTGTCTCTGAACATTCATTCAAGGTCCAAGTATAACTGGAGCTGCTGCTTGAATCTGCTGTGCTCCAGTCTCTGTGCACTCTGAGGCAGTGCTGAAATGACCTTCTTTCAGGACTTCTCACCAAGGACCACCTCTGTTTATGTGAGCACCTTCCCTCTGCACAGCCTGTTAGTGTGAGCAGGCAGGTGGATCATCTGGTGTGTGCCATCAGCTCTGCAGGTTTGTATGTTTATATGCGACATGTTAAAGAGCCAGGGCCTGGTTGGTGCTCCATTTTGTACAGCAATGTTTGGGTATCTAAGGTTTTTTTTCTGATGATGTTACCCAGCAGGGTAGTGAAACGTCTGCGGAACAACAAATCAGCTCTGCGAGCCAACCAACCGCAATGTTTGGGTAGTACAGTGCTTGAGATAGTGGAAATGCTGATACAAATCCAGTAATAACCTGATATAAATAGTCGATTGTTTACGTAAACATATAAAGATACTACTTCAACATTCCTGTCTCACAGGATGATAATAACTTTTACACTTATAATGTTTAGAAGAAATTTTAAAACAGTTTTGGGATTGGTAAGGCTTTTCACATGTGAACACACAGGTATAGCCATATAACACTTCTGTTGATATTCCTATGCGTTCTCAGGAAGAAGGAACTGGGAATATGAACATACACAGACACATACACAGAGAGAGACAGAGAGAGAGAGAGAGGGAGAAACACACAGACAGACACACAGAGAGAGACACATGCATAAAGACACACACACACACAGAGGGACACAGCACAGATGCAGATACACATGCAAATATAGATGCACAAACCCACACAATATACAAAGACACAAATAATGGTAGCAATGGTTTGATCGGCTACATTAATATTGCTTGAATATCAACTCAAGTAGACTTCACTCTGGTGCTTATTGTGTCTTCACATGTTGGTGGCTGTGTCTCACAGTATCTGACTGTATCTGTCTGTTTTGTCTCTGTATAGCCTCCCCTTCAGGAGACTGAGGGGTGAGAGTGAAAGGAACTGAAGGAAAAGGAAAGTAAGGAGAGAAAGAGAGGGGCAAGTAGAGAAAGGGTTAGAAAAAGAATATGTAGTCAGAGAAAGAGAGACAGATAAGGAAAAAGGAAACGAGGATATAGATATCAAGGGACATTCTCAACCGATGGAGTCACAGATGGTGTATTGGGACGGTGGCTAGGGTCTTTGGGGAAGGGGAATCAAGAAAGGAATGAAACGTGTCCATGAAATTGGGAAAGTCAGCCTTAATTGACTGGGTTCCCACTCCTGCGTTACTTTTAAAACTTTTGAACTAAGGGAAGATAATGTAGAGTGGTGTTGGATCTGAAAGAAAGTTCAGTGAGGCCTGGGTCTCTGGGAGGATTGGTCCAGCTCCAATTTTCTCTGTGCGACAGAGGTTAAACATAACCTTGCGGTGCCTGTGTTTCTGAACTGCACAACCCTGCCACCTTCAACAAACATTGGAGAGAATTCAAGTAACACGCAAGTCAGTGGCTTTTACATCAACTCAATGAGGGAAGTAGAAAGGATGCAGAAGGTGAAGCTCCTTCAGGAATCATCCAGGATTTGCTCAGATCTCTTCAGGAAAGGCCTCAGTTGCACCTCCCAGTGAGTTCCATACATGACATTGTGTTACGTGCGGTATCCCATGTGGTTCCCTCGCCTTCTTCCAGAGCTGTGTTTAGGAGGTTCCATGTTCACATATTCATTGTTCTGTTCTTCTCGGTTCTTTATCAACTTCTGAACAAGAAAGAAACAGACAGAGAAAGGCTTTGTAAATCCAAGTGGCTCCGATTAACACAACAATGGCAATGTTACTCTGGGCTATCCTTCAACCCCAAGAGCCAGTTGAACAGCAGATCCACACCACCTGCTGACATATTGGGTTAAGGACTGGGGACTGTCAACTGAAAATTTATATAAAAATTAAGACATCTTCACCTGATGTGGAAATAAGCCACAATTTGTGAACTTTCTGCCGGTTCTAGCACGGAGTCATATAATTCTTAGAGGAATTAGGAATAGGAGATGGCCATTCAGCCCCATAGGTCTGCTTCACCATTATGTTAGGTCACGGCTGACGTGCATCTCAGTTTTATTCTCCTGCTTTTGCCCTGTGTTTCTTCATACCTTTAACCAACAAAATTGGTCAGTCTCACTCTTGACTGCCCAATTGGCCCAGCATCCACAGCCTTTAGAAGGATAGAGCTCCACAGAGCAACTACCCTTCATTAGAATCCCTACAGTGTGGAAGCAGGCCATTCAGATCATACATTTGATCCCAAATCTCATTGCTTTTCCACAGTCCCTATAGTTTCTCCTCATCTCCTTCCAAAAGTCGTCTTTTTGTTATAAAGATGGGAGATCTCTGAGTTGTAAACAAGAGCAGTCAAGATATGGACAGAGCAACAATTTATATTAAGCATGTCGATTGTACAATGTCGGAACATAAATAGAAATACTTTTGCATTCAACGTACACAAAGAGAAACACCTCCAACACTGTTCTCATAAAATTCATGAGGTAAGTTTAAAATGTTGCCATTTGGAATGTTCTTTCAAAAGTAATACATGTCAGTAAACTGGTATTGAACAACACTCTCAACCATCACTGAACAGAGTCAACATGCCTCCAAACTAGAAGAAAAAACCTGTGTAAGGAGAAAGGGATTTGTGAGCTAGCAGCAAATAGGCTGTAGGGTGTAAAAACACACACAGTGGAGGGGAGAAAATCAATTTGAAAGGTTACTTAAAAGTGGGTCACTTGGTGAAATGTGAGGGTGATGTCTCTGGATGGTCCTGAGGCACAAAAACATCAGTTGTCCTGAACTTCTCTTGTTGACATGAGCAGGGAGATGGGTGATTGGAGCAGCCTGTCCTGGGATAATGCCATTGAGGTTGGGGGGAGGGGTGAGAACCAGATGTCTGACAAAGAAAACCTTGGACACAAGATGTAAGCTATAGCAAAAACAAAGCAGAGAAAGCAGCAAGCTTGAGAAAGGAGAACGACATGTATAAAGGGCATGGTGGTGTTGTGGGGCACATTATTGGACTAGCAAGCCGGATATGCCTTCCCTTTTGGCCAATTAAGAATTTAAATTTGGCAAATAAAAGTTCTGGAAATTAAAACTATTAGGAGTGACCATGAAGCAGACAGATTGTCATTAAAAGCCTGACTGGCTCATGACGGTCATTGGAGGAAGGAAACCTACCATTGATAGCAGGTCTCCGATCCCACACTTAAGTCAATGATTTGGAACTACCCTGTGAAGCAGTCCTGTAGGTCAGTCTGGTACCAGCTGTTCAAGGAACATAAACCTAGCCTTCAAAAGGGTGAGTAGGATTGGATAATTGATGCCAACCTTGCCAATGGCATCTTGAAAATGAATTTTGAAGAGGGATGTGGAAGGAGATGGCACAGAGGCTTGAGAGAGTGGTAGAGACCAGCTTGGATGTACTTGCCTTGCCTTGGGCCTGTCTCCCAGCGCTGGCCAGTCCACGTAGCAGTAGCGGGCTCGTCAGAATTGTGAATCAGTTCACATTTCATGTCAACTGCCTCCTTCATCCTGAGAATACAAGCGGTGGTACCAAGAGGCTGTGGAGGGCGAAATCGAATACAGAGCAGAGAAACACATTAACGCGACAAAACACAATGGGGAGACAGACGGGAAGAGGAGAGCACAAGGAAAAGTGAGGGCAAAGAAGAGAGGAAGAGGGCAGGAGAGAAGCAGGGGTGCATCTGAGTGTGAAAGGTGAGGTTGTGATGGGAGAGCTGTCCATTGACAACTTGACCAGGCATTACTTTCACCTCCAACTGAATGGGTTTCCATTGCGGTGTACTTTGTTTGAGGTCACTGCACATGGTGCTTGTGGGAGATTTCCCTGTGGGTTGATTCAATGGTTGTGTTTGGTGTTAGGCTAGGGTTGATAGAGGGAACTCCTTTTGTCTGGGGGTAATAGTTCTTCCTGGTCTTTGTAATTTATTGACTTCCTCAGCCCTAGGTGCTGCAATGAGTAGCTCCTAGTTATTTGGAATTTTTGCAGTGCCATTAAGTCATACAGCACGGAAACAGACCCTTCAGTCCAACCAGTCCATGCTGAACATAATCCCGAACTAGACTAGTCCCACCTGTCCTATCCCTCCAAACCTTTGCTGTTCATATATCCATCCAAATGTCTTTTAAATGTTGCAATTGTACCCGCTTCCTCAACTTCCTCAACTTCATCAGTACGTTCCTTCCACACACAAACCACCCTTTGTGTAAAATATTTTCCTCATGTCTTTTCTAAATCTCTCTCTTCTCACCTTAAAAATGTGCTCCCTAGTCTTGAAATTCCCAATCTTAGGGAAAAGAAAACTACCATCAACTCTATCTGTACCTCTCATTATTTTGTAAACTTCTATCAGGTCACCTCTCAACCACCTATGTTCGAGTGGAAAAAGGTCCCAGCCTATCCATCCTTTCCTCATAACTCAAACCTTCCATACCTGGCAACATCCTGGTAAATCTCTTCTGAACCATCTCCAGTTTGATAATATCCTTTTCAGAAGAGGCCTCACCGATGTCCTGTACAACCTCAACACAACGTCCCAACTCCTATACTCAAAGGACTGAGCAATGAAAGCAAGCATGCTAAACACCTTATTAACCATCCTGTCAATATGTGACGCAAACATTAAAGAATTATGTACCTGAACCCCTAGGTCCCTCTGTTCTACAACTCTGCCCAAGGCCCTACCATTCTGGCCCTCGGTCTCTTTCTTTCTGTCTGTGTCTGATCCTCTGCCTATCTGTCTCTCTCTCTCTTTCAATCTGCCTTTCTTTCTCTGTTGCTGTCTGCCTTTATCCAATTCTCTGTTTGTCAACCTATCTGTTAGGCTGTCTCCCTCTGTTTCTGTCTCTTTTTAATATGAGTAGGTGCAAGATAAGAGTGAGGGATAGGATGAGGGGCTCAGTAGGGTTAGAAGAGGGGAGTTTCTAGTTTTGGGGCAGAGGGTGAGGAGGTAGGACTGAGGGAGGAAGCCAGAAGGTGAGTCCGAGGGAGGCAGTGGGTAGGTAGATTTGGATAGTGTGTACACAATAACCTGTCCTGACACTTTCATAACGTGTACACTATGTTCAGCCACCTGCAATCAGTAACCAGTGTTTGACAATTTGTGTCCAATGTTTAGTAACCTGCACTTGTTACTTGATAACCCAGCTTTATTTGTACTGTCCACTCATTAACCAATACTCAGCTCTGTAAGCACAATCTTGCAATCTTGAAGCCAGTAATCTGTCTTCTGGTCTTGTTAAACTCTCCTATGAGACACTTAGTATTGATAGATTGCACTTGATACCCAGTAAGCTGCATCTGGCAGTTGGCAAACTACAGCTGGCACTCAGTGAAGTATATTTTGGCATTTCCTTTTCCAAACATCATTTCCAAGCCTTTGTGATACTTACCCAGTGTATGCAGGTAATGAAGATACTGTAGAACATGAAGAGTGCAGCGATGACCAATACAATCATAAAGGATTGAGTGAATTGTTGGCATGCCTTTATCTCTGCAACAGACAGGACAATGTTATCACAATTTTCTGCCTTGATGGTACAACTGGTCAGAACACCTTTGGACATTAAACGAACAGGTCCACAATTGTGACAGATGCAGACTGTACAGCAGTACTTTATTTTTTTCCTCTTTCTCTCACCTTGTGTCATCTCTCTTGTCTTCTCTCTTGCTTTCCCTCTCTCCTTCCCTGTCTCCCTTCTTACTTTTTTCCCACTTTTTCCTCTCTCTGACCTCAGTCCCTGTGTGTTGCCATTTGCATTCATAGGCTCTGTGTTTTTCTCTCTCCAAGCCACTCACTATCCTGACTTGGAGCTATGTTTGCCGTCCCATTCCTGTCATTGGGGTCAAGCGCCCTGTTGGTGCTGTGGGTGGATGGTCTTACACTCCATGGTCTTCAGCACTTCCAGAAGGGAGTTCACCAGCACCTTTGCTAGGGGGAGTAGGGATGGGAGGCTGTCTGGAAAACAGCATTCCCTCTGATTTTTCTCACCCGGTTCGTGGCATGCACGGCAGCAAAGCCTGAAATTGAATGTCCAGCCTACGATCAGTGTGCCAATGTCAGTCTCTGTGTGCGGAACATCAAAGCAACTTTGTGTGTGTGCAAGCACTAATAAAAGAGTGACATGCTGACTCAGTGGTTAGTATTGCTGCCTCACTGCACCAGGGAGCCATGTTTGATTCCACCCTTGGGCAACTGTCTGCACGGAGTTGGCACATTCTCCCCATGTCTGCATGGGTTTCCTCTGGGTCCTCCGGTTTCCTCCAACAGGCCAAAGTTATGCAGGTCAGGTGGATTGGCCATGGTAAATTACCCATAGTGTGTAGGCTAGGTAGGTTAGCCATGGTAAATGCAGGGATAGGGTATGGGGGTGGGTCTAGGTGGAATGCTGTTTGGAGGGTCACTGCAGATTCAATGGGCCAAATGGCCTGCTTCCACACTGTAGGGATTTAAAAAGAGTCTCCCTCTCTCCCCTTGATCACAGTTTTGAATTTCCCTTTCTGAGTCTCTCTTCCTTTCTGTCACTGGCAGCATTGACAATTCTTCCAAATTTAAGAGTTTCAAAAGCAGTTTGTACTGAATTCTCTCTTTCCATATTTAGATAATGATTCTGTTGTCATGACTGGGGGTCTGTTATCACTGCCTTCTTCTTATTGCACTCTATAAAGTGACAGTAAAGCACGTTGTTCATTTAATCTCTCCACCTTCCACTCTATTATGTAGGAACAGGGGTTAGGAGACCATTTAGACCCTCAGACCTTTCAATAGGATCATGGTTGATCAGAGCCAACTATTTACATATTCTTAGCTGTCAGAAAGCTATCAATTTTAGTGAGAAAATTAACAGTCCAACCAACGTCAATTGGCATTTGATGTTGCGAGTTCCAAATTTCTAACTTTACTCCTGAAAAGCCTAGCTCCAATTTTTAGACGATGGATCCTAGTCCTGCATTCCTCAACCTAAACAGATACTCCCTGTCTGTTCACCTCAATGTCTTTTACATTTCATAACTGTGTAAGTTCTGGAGAATGCAGTTCGTTTAATCTCTCCTTTAACCTATCCCTTGGAATTCAAATATTATTCTGGTAAATCTACACTGCACTTCCAACAAGTCCATTATTATTCTGTCTAAGGTCTGATGTCCAAACTGCTGTCAGTACTCCTGAGCAGTCGGATCTCATTATAATGAGAAAATAAATGTCCCCACTCCAATAGGGTGGCTCATTAAACCTAGCTCAGCACTTACATTATATTTGGTAAAATAACAGAGCAATGGTGACTTGGAGGCAGTGTCACCAAACTAGTAAACCGGGGGATTCCCAGTTGGAAAATGCAAGGTTGTTCATTTTGGAAGGAAGAACAAAGGAACAGAGTATTTTCTGAATGGAGAGAAACAGCAGAAAACTGCAAACCAAAGCAACTTGGGGATACTTGTGCACAAAACACAGAAAGCTAACACACAAGTACAGCAGGTAATCAGGAAGGCTAAAGGAATGTTGGCCCTTATTTCAAGGGGGTTTGAGTATAAGAATAGGGAATTCTTACTGCAACTGTACAAGGTGCTGGTGAGACTACATGTGGAGTACTATAAACAGTTTTGATCACCTTATTTAAGCAAAGATATTGTTTCATTGGAAGCAGTTCAGAGAATGTTCACTAGGATGATCCCTGGTATGAAGGGATTTTCTTATGAGCAAAGGTTGAAGAGAGACAAGAAAAAACTGTTGATGTTGGAATCCGAGGTAGACAAACAGGAGGCTGGAGGAACACAGCAGGCGAGGCTGGAGGAACACAGCAGGCCAGGCAGCATCTGAAGGAAAGGAGCAGCGGGTATTACCCTTCTTCAGGACTGGATATGGGGGTAGGGGAAGCTGCAGGTAAATGGGAGGCGGGTGGTGGTGATAGTTGGATACTGGTGGTAGGTATGACCTGGTTGGTCAATAGGAGGAATGAATCCGGTTGGTGGCTGGGAGAGAGGATCAGAAGGTGGAATGGAAGGGAGGAGGTGGAACTAGAAGAGGAGGTGGGAGATGGGTGGCATGGTTATTTGATATTGGAGATCTCAATATTGAGTCCTCAACGCAGAAGATAAGGTGTTGTTCTTCAAATTTGTGTTCTGAGTCCCTGTGATATTGGAGGCTGAGAATGGACATGTCGGAGGGGGAGTGGAGGATGGGGAGTTGAAATGGGTGGTGACTGGGGGTTAGGTTGGCCATTACGGGCCAGGTGGAGATGCTTGGCGAAATGGTCATCTAGTCTATGTTTGGTCTCACCGACATAGAGAAGACCACATCAGGAACACCGGATGCAATAGACTAGTTGGAGGAGATGCGGATGAACCTCTGTCTCACTTGGAAGAGCTGTTTAGGGTCCTGAATGGAGGTGACGGAGGTGGTGTGTGGGCAAGTTTTGCATCTTTTACAGTTACAGGGAAAGGTACCGGGTGGGTTGGAGTGGCTGGTGGGGAGTGCGGCGTGAACTAAGGAGTTGTGAAGCGAATAGTCCTTGTGGAAGGCAGAGAGAGGTGGGGAGTTGAAGATGTTGCAGGTGATGGACTCTAATTGGGGTTGGTGGAAGTGCTTGAGGATGATACATTGGATGCAGAGGCTGGTGGTGTGGAAAGTGAGGACAAGGCTGACCCTGTCTTTATTGTTTGGCAGGGGGTGTGGTGGTTAAGAGCTGGGAATGGAGAAGGCATGGTGGAGGGCTGTCTGGATGGCAGAGGGGGGAAAAGAACATTGTTTGAAAAAGGCAGACATCCAGGATGCTTGGGAGTAGAACATCTCCTCATCAGAGCAGATGTCACGGAGACGGAGGAATTGGGAGAACGGGATGGAGATTTTGCTGGATACAGGGTGGAAGGAGGTGTAGTCTAGGTAGCTATGGAGTCTGTGGGTTTATAGTAAATGCCGGTCTGTAAACTGTCACCAGAAATGGAAACCGAGTCAAGAAAGGGGAGGCAAGTGTCTGAGATAGAGCAAGTGAATTTGAGAGCAGGGTGGAAGTTGTTAGCAAAGTCGATGAACTGCTCCAGTTCAACCTGGATGCAGCACCAATGCAGTCATTGATGTAACAGCGGAAGAGTTGGGGAACAGTACCGGTGTATGTACTGAAGAGGGACTGTTTGACATAACTCCCATCCAATCCACCATCCTACTCACCAGCCCACTCCCCTTCCACAACTACTGCCCATCACACCACGTCCAATCCTCACCGATCACATGCTATCGCCCCCTTCCCCCCACCCCTCCTTCGGCCTCCTCGAGGCACCATTATCTGCAGCTTCCCCTACCCCCCACATCCAGTCCTGAAGAATGGTAATATCCGAAACGTTGACTGCTCCTTTCCTCCAAATGCTGCCTGGCCTGCTGTGTCCTTCCTGCCTCCTGTTTGCCTACAAAAGTTGAACAGTTTGGGACTCTACTCACTGGAGCTTAGAAAATGAGATGTGACCTCATTGAAACATAGCATTCTTAAGGGATTTGACAGGGTAAATGCTGAAAAGATAGTGAGGTTAGGACCAGCGTGGGAGTACAGTTGAACACGTGGCTGCAGAGCTGGTGTAGGATCGACGGCTTTAGATATACGGATTATTAGGATGTTTTCTGGGGAAGGTGGGAGCTGTATAAGAAGGACGGGCTGCACCTGAACTGGAGGGGCAACAATATCCTGGGCGGGAGGCTTTTTAGAGTTCTTCATGGGGGTTTAAACTAGTGTGGCGGGGTAGGGGGGAACCAGAACAACAGGCGAGGAAGTGCAGGGACTGGGCACAAAAGAGAGACTGAGATATGCATAGCACAGAGTAAGAGCAGGCAGAGGGAAATTGCGGGGCTCAGAGGGCCTGGAGGTCTGGAGTGCATTTACTTCAATGCCAGAAGTATAACAGGTAAGACAGATGAACTAAGAGCATGGATTACTGCATGGAATTATGATGTTATTGCTCCTTTCATCTCCTCCAACATAGTCTATTGCATCCGGTGCTCCTGATGTGGCTCTTCTCTACAGGTTAAAGGAAGGACAGGACTGGCAGTTTAACATTCCAAGATATGGCTGTTTTAGATGGTACAGAAAGGGAAACAAAAGGGGTGGGGGAGTTGCACTGCAGATTAGGGATGACATCACAACCGTGTTGAAGGAGGACATGTCGGAGGGATCTTGCAGTGAGATATTATGGTGGAGCTCAGGAATAGGAAAGGTGAAATCACAATGTTAGGTGTTTTCTATAGACCTCCCCAAAGGGCATGGAAGACAGCAGAGCAGATATGTAGTTAGATCGTGGAAAGATGTGAAAAAAGCAGGGTAGTTGTGGTGGGTGAATTCAACTTTCTTCTTGTTGACTGGGACTCCCTTAGAGCCAGGGGCTCGGATGGAGAGCAATTTGTTAGATGTGTCTGGGGGGCTTTTTGAGACAGGCAATCCAGTCAGAGAGGAGGCCATATGAGAGTTGGTATTAGGGAATGAGCCAGGACAGATGATTTCAGTAGGAGAGCATTTTGGCTGTAACTCCATAAGATTCTAAGTAGTCATTTGAGGGCAAATCTACACCTGGCATGTGGGAGGCTTTTAAAGACTGATTGCTTAGGGTGCAGGGCATGCATGTCCCTGCAAAACTAAAGGATAGGATTGGCAGGATTCAGGAACCAAGGGAAATTGTAAGCTTAGCCAAAAGGAAGTATACAATAGGTCTAGGCAGCTACAAACCGACAAAGCCCTTGAGGAGTATAGAGAAATTAGAAAGGACGTTAAATGTGGAATCATGAAGGCTAAAAGGGGCCATGGAATGTCTTTAGCAAACAGGGTCAGGAAGAATTCCAAGGCTTTTTCTGCATATATTAGAAAAATGAGGGTGGCAAGAGAAAGAGTAGGCTAACTCAAGGACAAAGGAGGGAAGTTATGCATGAAGCCACAAGAAGTGGGATAGATCCCTAATGAGTACTTTGTACCGATAGTCATCAAGGAGAAGGACATGATGTTGCGGTCAGGGATGAGTGTGTGAATACTCAATAGAATAGTAGATACTCAGAGAATGTCAATATATTGAAGGAGGAAGATTTGGATATTCTAAATTCCATTAAAGTAGACAAGTCCGCAGTGCCAGGTGGGATCAATCCCAGGTTACTGCAAGAGGCAAGGAAGGAAATAGCTAGGACATAAGTAGATAACTTCACACCCTCTTTGACCACAGGCAACGTTCCAGAGCACTGGAGAATAGCCAATGTTGTTCCCTTGTTTAAGAAAGAAAGCAGGGATAATCCAGGAAATTATAGGCCAGTGATCCTGACATCTGTGGTAGGGAAGGTCCTGGAGAAGGTACTGAGGGACAAGATATATGCACATTTGGAAGAAAATGGACTAGTTAGTGACAGGAAGCGTGGTTATGTAAGGGGAAGGTCATGTCTCACCAACCTGAGTGAATATTTTTAAGAGGTGTCAAAGACGATTGATGGGGGAAGGGCTGCAGATGTCATTTATATGGACTTTAGTAAGGCATTTGATGAAGTCCCACATACTTTGGTCCAGAAACTAAAATTACATGGGATTTGGGGTGGGCTGGCTAGATGGAATCAAAACTTGCTTAGTTACAGAAGACAGAGGGTAGTGGTGGAGAGGTGTTTTTCAGCATGGAGACCGGTAGCTAGAGGTGTTCTACAGGGATCAGTCTTAGGTCCTCTGTTGTTTGTACTTTATATAAATGATCTGGAGGAAAATGTCGGTGGTCTGATTAGTAAGTTTGCAGATGACCAGGATTGGTGGAGTTGCTGATAGTGCCGACAATAGTGAAAGGTACAACAGGATTTAGAAAGATAGTGATGCATTTTGGAGGATCAAATTTAGGAGTGAATTATACTGTAAATGGCAGAACCCCTGGGAAAATTAACATACAGACAGATCTGGGCGTGCAGGTCCACAGTTCCCTAAAAGTGGCAACGCAGGTGGCCAAAGTGATTAAGAAGGCATATGGCATGCTTGCCTTCATCGGCAGGGGCATGGAGTACAAGAGTAGGCAATCCATGTTGCAGCTACATAAATCCTTTGTTAGGCCGCATTTGGAGTATTGTGTGCTGTTTTGGTTGCCACACTACCAGAAGGACGTCGAAGACTGGGAGAGAGTACAGAGAAGGTTCACCAGGATGTTGCCCGGTCACGAGGGCATTGGCTGTGAAGAAAGGTTAAAAAGACTAGGATTGCTTTCACTGGAAAGACAGCAGCTGAGAGAAGACCTAATAGTGGTCCACAAAATTATGAGAGGCATAGATAGGAACCTGGAATGCACTGCCAGAGGAGGTAGTGGAAGCAGACACATTGATGACATTTAAGAGGCATCTACATGGTTACATAAATAGGGAGGGAATAGAGGAATATGCACCGAATAAAGGCAGAAGGTTTGTTTTTTAGTTTAGTTTGGGCATGATCATCGGCTCAGGCTTGGAGGGCCAAAGTGCCTGTAGCTGTGCTGTACTTTTTTGTTTCTCCTTTTTGGGATTTCCCCTCATGGAGAGTCTAGGGCCAAAAAGAATAGTCTCAGAATAAAGGGGGAGGGCCCAATTTAAGACTGAGATGAGGAAGAATTTCTTCTTCAGACGGTTGAGAGTCTTTGGAACTTGTTGTCACAGACAGCAGAGTCCTTGGTTATATCTAAGGCTGAGATAAATACACTATCAATCAGTAGGGGAGTGAGAGTTACCGGGACAATGCAGGAAAGTGGTTGTGAGGAATTTCAGATCAGCCATAATACTATTGAATGGTGGAGCAGGCTTGAGGGGCTGAATGACCTAATCCTATTCCTATTTCTTATGGTCTTATTGTGTAAGGGTTACGTTCCAGAGATGTGGGTTCAAATCCTATCAGGACAGCAGGAGGGATCTAAATTTAATTAATAATATCTGGAATATAAAGCTAGTCTTAGTGATGACAACCATGAAACAATTGTAAAAATGAATGATTCACTCATATTCTTCAGGGAAGGAAGTCTGCCATTCCTACCTGGTCTGACCTCCTGAAATGGCTGAGCAAGACACAGTGTTCAAGGGCAATTAGGGATAGGCAACAAATGCTTGTCTTACCAGTAACGCCCATATCCGATAGAGGATGAAGGAAAAAATTGAGACTCCTCCTTGTTGGTTCTACTGATACAGGAAACAATCTTGAGTAGACTTTAGAATATCACTACTTCATTTTTGCTTTAGATTTCCCCTAGCTAAAAACTGATGCTGTCTTAAACACCTCTACTGCATGAAAGATTGTGAGACTTAAATGCTAACTGTGTCTTTCTCACTCTAGAGTTGCTGCCCAAGTATGAAGAGAGTTATTTTGTTTTTATTTCAGATCTCTGTACTCACCAGGCATCTCTGGAGTGATGAAAATACAAGTCCCATTTCCTTTGCTCTCGATGTAGGGAGGTGGATGTATTTTCTCCATTTGGCAAATATATAAGTCACTATGGGATGTGTTTAGCCCACTGAGTGTTACTGAGACACTGCTGTTCCGGGATTGTCCCTGACAGTTTGGAGCCGTTTTCCTCTCGAAATGATCCACACTGGTATTGAAGGACATAGCACAGACCTCAGTGTCAGCCTTGAGTTCACCTTTATAAATGGTGATCCTGATCTGCCCAGGTGATCCATTTCCAATGATGTTGTACTCACACTCGAGAGTGACATTGTGGCTGTCTACAAGGATTCGTCTAGGCTGAAGAACTTGAAATGCTAGAGCTGAGGTAGAGAGGAGGAAGACAAAGGAACATAACTTAAACTTGAACAGAAAGAAATACTTACTGAGCTGTGGGTCAAACTGTGTCAATTAACCAGCCCAACTCTCGAGATGTAAGAATTCTCCTTTATTCTCTCATGGGATGTGGGTGTCGCTGGCTGGACCTGCAATTATTTCCCATCTATAATTGTTCTTGAGAAGGTGGTCGTGATCTGCCTTCTCGAACTGCTGCGATCTGTGTGTTTAGAAAGTCTAACAATGGCCTTAGGGAGGGAATTCCAGGATTCTGACTCTGTAACACTGAAGGGACAGCTACGTATTTCCAAGTCAGGATGGTGAGTGGCTCAGAGGGGGACTTGCAGTTGGTGGTGTTCCCATGTATTTGCTGCTCTTGTCCTTCCAGATGGAAGTGGTCATGGATTTGGGAGGTGTGGTCTAAGGGAAGTTTTCACTGTTGGCTTAGGACATTGCCCACCGGGTGGAGCCATCTCCAAAAGGTACTTGAGAGTGGAGAGATTTGGGAAGAGGGACAGCTGAGTGAGTGAGGGTGGAGGGTGATGGGAATAAGGACTGCAGTGAGTGAGTGAGGGTGGAAGAGTTAGGAGGAGGGCCTGTAGAGTGTGTGAGAGAGGTAGAGCAAGTTGGCAACTGAGACTTCAATCACTTATCATCCAACCAATATGGTCCATCAAAGGAAGTAAAACATTATTATAAACAACTTAAATCTGTAATGGTTAATTCTAATGATTTAGCAAACCCATGGTCATTATTAGGATAATTATAAACAAGATGGTGTGATAAAGTTTGTTTTCTGTATATCCAGGTTGACCTGGAAACACAACAATCTCTGTGAAATATAATATGCAGAGCAACTTCAGTTCTAGTGTAGGGGATGGGCAGTGTTCAATACTGCCCTGCAAAACTGATGGGGCTTATTGTAAGGGTTTCAATAGATCATTTAGGACAGTTCAAGGGCCACTGAGAAGCAGTTCCAAGGTCACAGACAGTTGTAAAGAGAGACAGAGACAGGGCAGACCCCAAGTTAGGATGAATGAATTTTAACTGTTTAGCAGAGAAAGAGTCAAGAACATATGGATGGTTGTGCTGCTTGAACAAACTCAGGGACTAGGAACTAGTAAGCAGCCAAGAATTGGAGTCCTGGGGATCTAAAATGGGAAGGTCCCCTGGCTTGTGTTTTGGGGGAAGCCATGGGGGCCTCAGAAGAAGCTTATAAAAATTAATAGATAGTAGGAACTGCAGATGCTGGAGAATCTGAGATAACAAAGTGTAGAGCTGGATGAACACAGCATGCCAAGCAGCCAAGCAGCATCTTTCTGAAGAAGGGTCTAGGACCGAAACGTCAGCTTTCCTGTTCTTCTGATGCTGCTTGGCCTGCCTTGTTCATCCAGCTCTACACCTTGTCATCTATAAAAATTAATACTTCAGTGCAGAGGGGTTCATTCTTTGAGAAAGACTGGAACTCGGGGATACCCAAGGACAGGTTTTAGCTTGGTGAAGCTAACTGTCGGTGAAAAGTTGGAGTTGTGCTGGTGAATAAGCACTGGAGAACTGTCTCAAGGCCTTGGGGAGTATGAACCCAGGCCAGGACTATATGTGATCGGCAATAACAGGAGCAGTCGCTGAGACAATTGATGCTAGGGTGGCTCTTGAGAGGGTATTTCAAGGCCAGATTGTCAAAGTGTAGAATTATAATCCTTTATATCATTATCGTTTGAAGGAAGTTACTGAGAAATCCATGGAATTTGAGTTGATAGCATTTGTTATTTGATGTGAACTGTGGGTTGTTCAATTATAATCTATATTATCTATGGTTACCATTTGTTAATCCTGGTGCTAGAAATAAGTTACATATGTGTTTTACATTGGTGTTACTGTCGTAAATTGTGTAGTAAAGTCATGTTATCTGCTCAGAACTATAGGATCTTGTGGCTTTGTTCTCTTTGTAAGTCCCCTGGATCTTACCTTTTTATTTCTAAAACAAAAGTTATTGGCCCCTAACCAGATTGTAACATAATTTGGTGATCTTGTTAGGGTCATAAAATAATTGGATAGAGGACCAAAACTGTACAACATCCCCTTAAGTAGCAGAGATCTGCAATTCATGTTAAAGGAACAGAGGAGGTCTCAGATTCAGTACAAGTGGTCAACAAGTGTTTGATATGATAATATAAATTGTTCGCAAGTGATGAATAGACTGTAAGGCTTTTATTTCAAGTTACTGATTTGTAGCGGTTAGCTCATTTAACTGATTGGCAGCATGAAGTCCAAAAATAACAACAATGAAAGGTCCAATTCCCGCTCAGCGTGAGGTAGATTCTGGATCTGTTCCTCACCCACACCTGGAATGTGGAGGGAAATGATTAACTATCAGTATTGAAAAATAATTGCCAAGAAAATTGGCTCAAGGTGAAGTACCAGCAGACAATGAGCAAGGGCCTTCCCTCGCACAGGACACTTCACATGAATGAATGGGATTAGGAGAAGGTGAGGGCTTGCCCCCATGTTGAAATCCTTGGAAAGAATGCGTTTCAGGAGAGGGATTTGATGGCCCTTCTTATCAATCCAGGGAGGATGGGGAATTCAAAGGTCAGAAAGAAAAGAACGAGTACTGAGTATCAATATTATAGAAAGAGACAAGGAAAGCAGCAGGTAAGGGAGAGGCAGTTGGTTAAGATTTGACTGATTATACTGAAAGGAGAAAGAGGACAAATAGAAATAGACAATTGATTCTGAAAGGACTGCCTACTTAACCATACACCAGTGATTAGAGATTTCTGCATGGTTTTCTACAGGTAAAGACTGCTAGTTAGCCACAAACAAAAAAGCCACAGAGTTTGAACCGCAAGACAAAACATGACAAGAGATCAAACCAGAGATAGTAGGAACTGCAGATGCTGGAGAATCCGAGACAACAAGGTGCAGGGCTGGATGAACACAGCAGGCCAAGCAGCATCATAGGAGCAGAGAGGCTGACGTTTCGGGCCTAGACCCTTCATCAGAAAAGGGGGAGGGGAAGGGGGTTTTGAAATAAATAGGGAGAGAGTGGGAGGCGGATAGAAGAGGGATAGAGGAGAGGATAGGTGGAGAGGAAACAAACAGGT